TACATTCCTGGAGGGGAGGAGACAAAGACAGGACAGTCTCTTGGGTTTGGTAGTCATTCAGTCTTGATGAATTTGAGAGCTCCAGGTTCAGTGAGAGACACTGTCTCAACATCAAAAATGGAAAGCAATAGAGGAAGTCATCCAGCATCAACCTGTGGCCTCCACGTGTGTACATGCATGCACGAAAGAGAGAGAGGGAGAGGGAGAAAGAGAGAGAGAGAGAGATTAAAATTTTTTGAGAGTAAGGCAAGTTTATACTTTATACAGTCTTATTGAATTGAGCTATCAAAATAAACCCAATGGAGGATACGAATGTCAGCCATGATACTAGCTATCTTTATTCTGTAGCATCCTGAAATCCCATCTGTGATTCAATTTATTCCAGTTTTGAGGCCAAACCCACCCACCCCTCCTCTCAGTGGCCAGGATATTTTTTACCATATCTTGTCACACTTGGGGACATAATTAAATTTATTCTAGTCTAGCAGATTTTACTCCCACTAAGCTGAGAACACTTCATAATAATTATCAATGTGATAATAATCGCTGCTGATAATTTTTACACAAAACAAAACAAAAAAAGTCTTAAGATGTGTAGGCCATAACATACCCTCCAATACAAGCAAAGTCTCAAAAGAGAGAGTTTTATATTTTGGCCAACATATATGATAAATACGTCCCCCAAGGAACTTCTCCACTTCCTTCAGCTCTCTGCTCAAAGATATGCTTATCGGAGAGCTCTCCGCCCCCACTGCCACACCTTTATTTTAAATGCCACCCTTCACCTGCCACCTCTGCCCTTGGCTCTCATCCTCTCTCCTTTCTTACAGTGCCTCAAGCCAGCTGACACTCATTGTAGGTGGTTGTTTTATTATCTGCTTTTCTTCTACAGAAGATAATCTGGGTCAGAGGTAAAAACTCAGCTTTGATCACGCACAGTGTCTTTCAGATCTAGCACTGTGACTGGCAGAGTGGCATCGTAAGAATTTGCTACATGACAGCTTCACAAATGTATCCAGCAAGGAGTGACACAAACAAAGGGATTGCAGTTGAATTTCTGGGAAGTGTGCAGCCTTCACTGTGGAAATCAGGGGACGCAAAAAGTTCAAATTAGGTCTACGTGACAGCCCAGCCCTACCACTCCAGGGTGTATACTCAAAAGACTACACATCAACATATCACGCGCCTGGCAATATCAAATACTTATCTCACATGTGGTTTTTAGATTCTATATAGATACACAAGGACGTGTGTGTGTGTGTGTGTGTGTGTGTGTGTGTGTGTGTGTGTGTGTGTGTGTGTGTGTGTGTGTGTGGATGTGGATGTGTGAGATATGAAAGTAAAAACAAAACTAGGGGACAAAGGTGACTAACGGTGTTGGGAGCAGGGGTTAACAAGGTCAGAAAGGAGAATATAGAGAACATACACAATGTAAAATGTATATACTTGTATGAAAACCTCCTTATGTAACACAGCCCCATGTTCAGGTAACATATACAATGAAAATCCTGTGGCTACTCACAATCTGTCTAACATCAGAGAAGTTACTTAATGTCCCAGTGCTGGATTCTCCTAACTGGAAATCCAGGTGTCCTTCCCTCTGTGTACCTTCCATGCCTCAAAATCGACAAAATGATCTGCTGTGGTACCCACAAGCTGTTTAAGTTGATCACAGCATGGTATGGCTACTCATTAAGAGCTGAGCTGTTTTGTAACTTCTGTCTTCAAGCCACCACATGCCAGTGAAAGAAACTAGAGGAGAAATGATTTGCCCTTCACTGGATAGCTCACTTCTAATGCCTGGATGTTGAATAAAAACAAGAAAGCAAACGACAGAGACAATGTGGTTTGCAAAGTTTCCATTCAGCAGCTCACCCACCCCTACAAACCAACCTCCAGTTCACCCAGGCCCTCCATTCCCTTGCTTAGGCCAATCAAAAGCTGAACAGATTTACAGTCAAACCTTCAAATGGGTCACCAAATGTTAGTGACACACGGAAAGGCGCTGTGGGGTCTGTTGGGGTCTGACGCCTACAGCTACCTCCCTGGTATACAGAATGCCTTTGGTAATTATTACCTCACCACATCTTTCTTTCAGGAAAGCTTAATTTATCTCAGTGCCAGAAGTACTAAAACCAAGGTGTTATTTTGTACAATACAAAAGAAGTTATTCCTTGCATTCTTAAATCATGCTATGGCTTTCTATAATATTACTGTTATAACTTGAGTTGTCTCATTTCATCCCTGAGCAGAACAGTTGGCAATTTACATAATACACTTGGACTTCCACATTTGGGTAACTCATTATCTTTGGCTTTGTTGGAGTTAAACAAAAGGACACTGGCAAACTGGAAAGGAGGACCCAGTGATGCACTTACTGCAGAAACACAGTGACGGTAATCACCCCTATCCCATGGACTATCTTGCAAAGAGAACATGTTCCCTCGAGTCTGGGCTTATGAAAGGCTATGCTTTCTCTACAAAACTGATCAGCTTTGATCTTACAAAATCATAATAATTATAACCTAGAATATTTTGATTAAATTCTGTTTTCTTCTCCCAGCAACTGTTTCAATTATTTTTAAGACAGGGTCTTGCTAAGTTGCCCAAGCTGGCCTTGAACTGGTGATTTCCTGATGAGTTCTCAGGCCCCTGAGTCTGGGGCTGCAGGCATCTATGACTTGCAATGGCTCACAGCTGTTTCAGAGAATGGTCATATTTTATATTCTCCCACAAATGTTCCGCCTTTCAAGATATCCTATTATGTGTATTTTTGTAAGGTTAATGCAGCCCTCCTGTGGGAAAGGTCTGCTGTGAAGTAAATAGAGTATGTGTGTGAGACACACACACACACACACACACACACACACACACACACACACATACACAGAGAGAGAGAGAGAGACAGAGACAGAGACAGAGAGACAGAGAGACAGAGAGAGACAGAGAGAGACAGAGAGACAGAGAGACAGAGAGAAAGCATATGTGTGGAAGTGCGGTTTATTTGTGTATATGTATGTAGGTGTGTGTGTACATGGGTATATGTGTATGAGTGTATATGTAAGGTGTATGTATGTGAGTGTACTGAGTATCGTGTGAATGGGTGTGAACTTTTAGTATTTTTAGATTCACAGCAAAGCTGAGGAGAAGAGCTGCAGATTTTTTTCTGAATTCCACTTGCTCTGACACATTAGCAGCCACCCTGCTACCAACACCCCCACTAGAGAGTAGCTTGTTAGAGCTGATGAACACCTGTGACCCACTGTCACTTGTTACATCCATTACTGTTCTCCTTGTCATAACAAAACACTCAGTGGAAAAGCTTGGGAAAGGAAGGGTTTACTCAAGCTCATAGTTTGAGGCTACAGTCCATCGTGGAGGTGGAAGGGGTGACAACAGGATCTTGAAGCCACTAGCCACACTGAATTTGAGACAGGAAACCGAGAGCTCCCTTTCTCCTTTTTACCCAGTCCAGGACCTCAGCCCAGTGTATGGTGCTGCCTACCTTGAGAGTGGGTCTTCTCACCTCATTAAGCCAGTCTAGAAAATCCCTCACAGACATGAAGCCCAGAAGTTTGTTTCCATGGTGATTCTAAATTCCATCAAGCTGGTCATGGAGATTGGACTCCTCGATGGTAGACATTAGTGTTAACTCTTTACATTGCATATTCTCTGTAGCCATCATTACAGTATCATGGGGAGCAGCTTCACTGTCTTGAAAAGATCTGTGTATCCACCCACAGTGGGTCCAGCTTGAAAGACTACAAAAGCATACACCTTGCTCTCAAAGTGCCTTCTTAGTTTCCATGTCTCTCTCACCTGCTTCTCTGATAACCTTCTGGCTGGTAATAAGTCTATGGTTTTGGAAAACTTAAAGAAGCCATGTTCATTTCTCCATTTTTAGTGAGACAATTTTCAGGAATTTGTAGTTTATAATTCAGTAAAGTTAAAACTCAGAAACAAGGAAAATGTAGATGAGTTTCTTTATCCTGAATGAAGCTCTGACTCTTTTCTTGTGCACTTTACCTGCTTGCCACGCTGCAGTGATTCATGATCAGACTTGTGAGTGGGTATCAAGAGGAAGAGAATTGAACATATCCCAAAAGAATGGGCTATACTAGCTGTGAAATCAAAATCACAAAACCAACTGGGTACCTACTGTGTGGCAGGCACAGTGTGTGGATCACTGAAGTACTGTGACAGGTAAGGACGCTATGAAACAAAGTCAGACCATTAGCATGGACATCAGAGATGTGAAGGGCAAGCCCTATATCACCATTCTTCTGATTTGGCGAAGGACAGATGAAATTAGATCCTGTGTCTTATTTTGTTCATTTGTTTTGTTGTTCATTGTTCAGAATGCAATGCAGAGTCATAGGCCCAATCCCCTAAATGCTGGCTTCACTGTTCATAGTGAGAAGCCAGAGCATCCTTCTTATTTTAAAGATACCCAGGTGATCATGATGTACAGACCAGTTTAAGTTTAGGACTGACTCAGGTTATCACACACAACAGAATCAGTTTCTGAATGAGTCAGCATACAGATGTCCTTAAAAGAGAAAATTGCATTTTCTCCTTATTTGATCAACCGTTGTGTTGAATACAATGGCTTTCTCATGACAGGAGTCTAGTGTTTGCTGACTAATTGAGTATGGTAAGACATATCCTACTCAATTCTGTTTACAACTGAGGAAAATAACTCTGTAATGTCAAGAAATTGGGCATAAGGAGGTATACATTTTCAGACTAGCAAACCAACTTAGTAGGTGAAAACTCTTGCCACCTGTGATGCAAACCTGAAGGCCTGGGTCAATTCTGGGAACTCACATGAAGGTGGAAGGAGAGGACCCCCTCCACAAGTGATTCTCTCTCCTCCATACATGCATGTCACATTCATGGCCAAGAGCATACCTACTTGCTAATAATAATAAATAAATAGATTTTAAAGAAATATCATTTCACAATGACATTACTAAAGTTTCAGGATCCCCTTCTCTTACCAGAGTCATTCAGTGGAGACCAAGTCAATCTGCTGGGGAGGTTGTCACACAGTTCAAGTCTGGGGAGAGAATGAAAGAAAGCATGGATGGTATAGCAGTTGTGCTTGGTACGCTTGGGGCTGAACTAATATGTCAGGTCTAGAATGTTCTTCCAAGCACCTTTGGGTTGTGGTATGAAGCTACCACAATCAAGGCCAAGGTTTTATAACTCTTTGCATTGAGCTGAGCAAGAGGGAGTAACTTCTGTCAATCTCACCGAAAGTTCTTGAGTGGCAAACTTCAAATACTCAATACAAGCAGCCTACATTTATCTCTCAGGTTATCTATGTACATCATAAACTTGAGATTAATTACCTCCACGGGTATCTGAATGGGTCAGAAAACTAAGCCATGACGATGGGCTTCACCATTTGTGCATCTGGAGTTGCTGCTGAGCAACTCAAATAAGTCTGCAGAGCATATCTGCAGTCAGATGTGCATCAGTACTTCCTGTGCTCCCACTTGAGCCAGGAGCTGTGCTCAAATGGAAGGAAGAATCAGAGGCATTTATAACGAGAGCGCAGATGATCCATAGTCCATAAAGTTAAGATATCTTTATTCAGATAAACACCAGTCAAGCGCAAGCCAGAGCGTGCCCAAAGGCAGCAAGCTAGGGAGGCCAGAGAGAAGGGGTTCCCCACGTGTCTGCGGCCCCTTAAGAGTCCCCCCCATCATTCTCAACCTCCCCTGACCACGCCCTCATGGGCATGGCCAGGCACACCTGTAGTGGCTCCTAGGAGGCGGGGCTACAGTGTCTCCCTACAGGCATTGAAGGCAAGCTATTTGTTGGTGGTGGTGGTCTCTGTTTGTTTCTATGAAACATGTTCTCACTGTGTAGCACTGACTGGTCTACAATACATAATCCTCCTGCCTAAGTGCTGGGATTACAAATGTGTGCTACCACAGCCATTTGAGGTGAGGTCTTTCATAGGTGATCAACGCAGAAATAAGTGACTTTAATGCATCAACTCATGAAAGAGGAGTCTAGAAGTCTTATACTGTCACCGAGTACAGAGTAACCAACTGTGAGGGCTGGGAGAGTGTGTAGTGAGGATGTCAGAGTGATGTCAGAATGTGGTGCAGAAATGATGAGAGATACCCTATGTGTACTTTCAAATGAGGGTCTGGGACTAAAGACGTGTTTAGGGGGTTGAAGCAATGATTATGATTTCACAGGGAAATAAACTGAATGAAAGGGAAAATGAGAATTGATGAAAGAGAGAGAAGAGATCTTTGAGGAACCCAGGGCTCTTCTAAAGCAGATGCTCCTGGAACAAAGACCAAAAGGACCTGGGGATGTATGAATGCATGGAGACACTGGACTGAGGCAGGAGGGTACCAGCCAGACCTTTATCAAGGGAACATAAGTGTGGGGGGGGACATCAAGAAGGTGGAACCCATAAACAGTACTTGTTTGAAAATAGCTAGCTTTCAAAAATCAAACTTTTGAAGTATAGAGTAGGCTCATGGGTTCTGAGAATTAAAGAGGAGTGTAGTGACCAAAAAAAGTGGAGAAGTTGAGCAGAAGCAAACTGCAGTGATCAAAGAATAGAGTGTCAGTCTGCAGAAGGGGTAGGCAGAGGGAAAGGGTAATAGCCACTTGTAATGATAAGTCTTTACTCCATCTGCCTGAGCCCTGCCACCACGTGGGTGCCCAGAATAACACACAGAGTCTTGTATTAGTTTACAATGCTGCTGGCCAATTGACTAGGATTTCTTATATGCTAGCTCAGTCTTAATTATCATAAATCTATATATTTTATAAGACTTATCTTATCGAGGACACCTTCCACTGGTGTCCTCTTCCTGGGATGACATGGCAGCTCAGTAGAGAAGAGAGCAAGAAGAAGAAGAAGAGCAAGAGGACGACTTCCTTCTTGTCCCTTCTTATATCCTGAGTCTGCCTAAGTAGGCGGTTCAGTGTACCCACTGCAATTGCCTTGAAGACATGATGACCTGAGTTTGGACCCCTACATAATCCAGATACAGTAGTGTACACCTGTAATTACAGCACACCTGTGGTAGTACTAGAGGCGAAGACAGGGGAATCCCTGCTGGCTTGTGGGCCAGCTACCCAGTGTACAGAACAGAACAAGAGACCCTGTCTCACACAGGTAGAAGGTGAGGACCAACAACCAGCACTTTCTTCTGGTCCCAACATGCACACCATGACACACAAACATTTGCACACACACACACACACACACACACAGAGAGAGAGAGAGAGAGAGAGAGAGAGAGAGAGAGAGAGAGAGAGAGAGAGTTCTCTGGAGTAAAGATAAGAAAGGACAAGTGGAAAATTCAAGTCAGACTGCGACTAGCCGAGGTACCTAGCTAAGTAGAATAGAAAGAGCCTGAGATTCCACCAAACTAAGCAGAATAGAAAGAAAGAGTAGATTCCACCATGGTTTTTATTTGACACAGAAATGCATATTACAGTATTTTTGGAAATGAAGGAAACTTCTGGATTGTGTTATAGATTAACACTGAAGAGATATGCTACCCACTACACATACCATCTGCATATGGGGAGAGAATGGCTGCAACATTTGCTAGATGTCAGCAAAAACTTGCCTAAAATCCCAAATATTTCAGGAGTGAAATGTGACTCAACATTCAGTTACTTGGGTATCAACAAACAGGCTCTATTCATGTGGCTAAACTCTGTGTGTGCACAATGTGGCTGTATTCATTTTGCTAAGAAAGAGTTCCATATTGTGTGCAGTTGTACTTTTAATCTAGAAGAACTTCAAATAAAACAGGCTGAGGAATAGCTCAGTGGTGGAACACTTGCTTAGAATATGCAAGGTCCAGAATTCAGTCTCCACTGTAAAGGAAGGAGGGAAGGAAGAAAGGGAAAGAAGGACAGAGGGAGCGAAGGAGGAAGAGAGGGAGGGAGGGAGGGAAGGAAGGAGAGGATGTCTGGCATTTCCTCCCTGTCTCTGTAACTATATACTTTAGATATTTTTACACTATGCATGTCCCACAATGTTATTTACCTATTCATGGGTGGTCCATGTTTATGTGTTGTTTTTAGAGACAACTTTTTTACTCAGTAATGATTAAAGGGGATATTAATTTACTCAAATATTGTATAAAATAGAGATTCTCTGGAAATGGAACTGACCCCTGCTTTTTAGGTATGTATCACCTAGGAGCCAGCAGCAGACACAAGCAATGGAGTGTTGGAGGAGCAGCAATGGAGGCTAGCGCAGGTAACACAGCACAGAGACTCTCCCATTCTGAGAAATGCACACCTCTTCTTCTCAGTTATGAGCATCGTGGGCCTCAAAGAGAAGGGAATTGTGTTTGTTATCTGAGTAAAAACCGTCTTCCTCTTTTACAGAAGTACACACCCTATTAAAAGCAGTAAGAAAATAGGTGCATAAGAGTTGGCAGGATTTAGATGTCCAGGTAGGTGAAGATGAAAGAGTCTAGCTAAGAGGGTTCATGATTCTATTACCAGTCGCCATTTTTATATTATTAAATAATAGATGATTATGCCTCAGTTAGAATAGACTTTGTAGCTACATGCCATCTGTACTACTATTTTTATTATGGCAACATCTTTGAAGAATGCATTTTATTTTTAAAAAAATCTGCTTTTATATCTGTTTCCTACCAAAGAAAATGAAAAACCATAGAGAAGAGGAGAGCACAGAGGCACATGTGTTAAATAAAAATTCTCAATGAATAGAAATAAGCTAAAAGTCCCTAGTAGTCCTCAAAACATCTTGTGATGTCTGGGCACATTAGATGAGTTTACATATTGCTCATACACACAGAGAATGACTTGGACACATTGCTCAGCTAGGAAGTTCAATTTCTGCCTTTCTGTTCCTTACTTTGAACAAACAATACTGACTTAATCACTGATGAATAAAAGACACCAGGGATTTGGAAAAGGACAGATCTAAAAGATTCTGACCACACAGAACAAAAGATTTTTTTCTAATGAGGACAGTTATAAATAACCAGCGTGTATGAGGAAATGACATGCCAAAGTGGTCACTTGGAGCTTCAGTATTTTACTATTAATCCCCCACTGCAGGCAGCAGCAACACGATGAGCAATACTAAACTCTGTTACTTGGGAAACATAGTCACAGAGAAAGCTTCAAGTTCACCTGTGCCTTGTGACAGTTAGATGCTATCTACAAGACAATTCAAGTGATAGAGGCTTCTTCCTCTGTTCTGGTTGAATTCCGTTCAAATTGTGTCTTAGATCTGAGGTACCAGAATCTCCTCAGTTCTTCCATAGATTCTTCTGGAGGGACAGACTGACAGGCTCTAGACAAGATCCACCACACACATCTGTCCTGGAGTGGCACTGGATCCTTAAAGAAATGTCTTAAACTCCCATACTTCACAGTTCGAAGAGTCAAATCTAGAGCTTGTGGCAAAGATTACAGGCCCTGAAGTTGTCTCACGAGGTACACACCTTGGTCCACAGATGAATGGTTCAGGGAAAGTTGGTTATGTCTTATGCACGAGTGAATTCATTTACAATATAACAATTACAACAACACCTACATCATAGAGCTTTGTGAAGATTATATATAGGTTCATAAGAAGCTACTTAGGAAAATACATTCCTGCAATGCATACCTATATATAAATATTCTTTTATATTTTTCAACTTCTCTTCACCTAGCCAGACACTCCACCTAGGTCTTGTCTTACAAGAATTGCATCTGGGAAAAATTTTTGGTGCCTCCTTTTCTTTGTCCTGCATCCTATGCTTCCCTTTGCCAAATAAACACAACTACCCTAACTAGGAAGGAGGTCACCCCTCAGTCTAACGGCTTAGTAGTTGTCATACTCTTATTTATGCCAGCTGTGACATTTTGGTTATTCTTTATAGTAGCAAAGAGGAAAATTAAAAACACTCTGGGCAACTGGGTTTTATGCTCTTTCCATCATGGTTACAATCCTGGAGTAATGAATGACCAGAGCAGCTTCAGATGTGTTTCAGAAAGTGGCAACAAACCCACCCATGTAGCTGTCTGCCTGTAGGCAGCATCCTTTCTCCCAGGGGTTCTGGTTCAATTCCAAGGCAAACCCAATGGAGTACAAAACAGTAAGGTGGAAAGTTCCTTAGAAGAGAACTAAGTTAGCTGGGTTGTGGTGGTACACGCCTTTAATCCCAGCACTCGGGAGGCAGAGGCAGGTGATCTCTGTGAGTTCGAGGTTATCCTGGTCTACAGAACAAATTCCAGGACAGGCTCCAAAGCTACACAAAGAAACTCTGTCTCCACACACGCACAGAGAGACAGAGAGAGAGAGAGAGAGAGAGAGAGAGAGAGAGAGAGAGAGAGAAGTGTAGATGTAGTTGGGAGTTTTTCTCACACTCCTTGGGTTCCCGTCTCCATAGCCGCTTATAAAATAATAACTCAAAGGGTAATATATCAATTACAGTTGTTTGGCCAATGGCTCAGCTATATTGCCAACTAGCTCTCTCTTGTGCATTAACTCATTTCTATTCCTCTATGTGATGACATGAGGCTGTGGCTTACCTTTAATGCTTCGGCATGTTACTCCTTCGGTGACTACATGGTGTCTCTCTGACACTGCCTTCCTTCTCTCAGCATCTTTGTTCGGGAAATAAAGTCCTTTGAACACAACATTGAGACCTAAATTGGCAAGCTGTTTGAAGAATAAAACAACATCCACATTTCAGGTTTAAAAAGCCCAGGAAGTCTGTGAGGGAAGATTTTTAATGATGCACATCCAGTGTTCCTCAAATTATTTTCCAGCGAAGCCTTAGGGAGCCATGCTCTCTGGGTTCCTCATTAGACTGATAGATAAAGTAGACAGCCTAGGTTCCAAAAAAAACAAGTCAAAAGGAAGAGACTGGCCTTAAAGTGCCTAGAAAACTAGAATCATATGACTAAAGAAAATGATGGGGAGGGGGGCTGAAGAGATGGGTCTGCAGTTAAGAGCATTGGCTGTTCTTCCAGAAGTCCTGAGTTCAATTCCCAGCAATCACTTGGTGGCTCACAACCATCTGTAATAAGATCTGGTACACTCTTCTGGCCTGCATGCATACATGCAAACAGAACACTGAATACATAATAAATAAATAAATCTTTTTAAAAAAGGAAATAATGAAGGAAGGGAGAGAGACAGAGACAGAAACACAGAGAGAGAGATGATGTGCTGGCTCCCACCTGAAATGTTAGCATCCAGGAGTGCAGATAGAATGACTGAGAGTTCAAAGCCAGCCTGGGCCACATAGAGACACCTCATCATCAGAAATGATGTCAGAGACTAGGGCAAGGGATAAGGACACTTCCCATCTTCCCAGAACTCTCTATTATTGCAGCATGAACATTTGGACTGGCCAGCTGCCTGGAGAGATGGCATCAAGAGACACGGCAGTCACATGTCCACACTATGCATTTCCTTCCAGGAGCTACAGTGTGAGTGTTGAGAGGCAGGATGTGACCTCTCCAAAGAAGCAGGAGTCAGGAAAGCTGATGTAGGAATAAAGGAGCATTTGAGAAAAGCAGGGTGTGGGAGAGAACATTTACAGTGGGTGTTTGAGACAAGAATCAAAGGATGCTTTTTTTCAGGGTTTATATTTTCCAGTGAAAGATAACACTATCCTTGCAGCCTGAGCCCTGACTTTTACGGCTTCTGGCTAATGTGGTTTTTTTTTTTTTTTTTCAGTGTACCTTGTAACAGCCTTGTGGCAGAGGCAGAGGAATGCTCCTCTGTCTGTTGTAATGATGAAGAGAAGAAAAGGGGATGACGGGATCCATTTTCTTGAGTCTATGCCTTCAGGCTCAAAATCCAAGTCCTCACTGTGTAGTATTTCAGCTTCATTTCCTGAGGCTAATGCTACCTGCCTATTGAAATTCCACTCTGGTATTTGGCCTATCCAATCATTCCCGCCTTGACCTAACAGATGATTGAAACACACTTTTACAGCATTCCAGGATTCCAGAACATTTTATTATTCTCTAAGTATCCGGTGTGTGCAGAAGAGGGGAAGAAGGATTGTAGAAGCCAGAGGGGTCAAAAACACCTGGAGAACACAGCCCATAGAATCAACTAAGCAGGGCTCATGGGGGCTCACAGAGACTGAAGTGGCAGTCAGGCACCCTGCATGGGTCTGAGCTAGGTCCTCAGCATATATGTTATGATTGTATAGCTTGGTGTTCTTGTAGGGCTCCTAACAGTGGGAGTGGGGATGTCTCTGACTCTTTTGTCTGCCTTTGGAACCCTTTTCCTTCCACTGGGTTGCCTTGTCTTGCCTCAGTATGAGGGTTTGTGCCTAGTCTTATTGTAACTTGTTATGGCATGTTTGGATGATATCCCTCGGAGGTCTGCCCTTCTTTGAAGGGAAACAGAGGAGCTAGGGGAGAGGGGAGAGTTAGGGGTGAGGAAGGGGAAACTGCGGTCAGGATGCAATGTATGAGAGCACACTAAGTAAAATAATGATCAGGTTATTATCAGATGTTCATCATCTATCGCTGTAGTGAAGACCTAAGGTAGTCGTCAGCGTGTCTCAGCTCACAGTTTGGGGTGTTCTAGTCCACAGAGGGATTGGATCTGTGGTGGGCCATCATGGCAGGGGGTGCTTGGGAAGATGACCACTCAGAGCATAGCTGTTCAGAAAAAGAGAAAGAATAACCCTTAGGGTTATTCTCTGGTGACTGAAGGACCTTGCCTGAGGTCCCACCTGTCCCACATTTCCACTCTGGAAGCAAAATTGTAAAGTTCCTATTCCTTAGGACATTCTACATTCAAAACACCACATGAGTACTTTCTGGTGTTTTTGTAAAATAAATAAATTATTTTGGGTTTTCCAAAGTCTCTATTACATGTATTATGAAATACTCAGAAAGTTATTCATTGCATTAATCTCATAACAAATATGAATGCGAAAGTAAAGATGACTTTGAAGTGCATAACTTCCTATTAAAAAAAATCTATTCAGAATTCTGTTTGGTTATGCTATTCCCAGTTTCCTAATGAATTATAATGCTAAGTCCATTTAGTTTTGTTTCCTTAAGGAATTTTTATTTTCCCCATAGTTTGCCTTGGCCCAACAGTTTCTAGAAACCCTTAGTATAAATTTTAATGAAATGGGTATGGTAGTTTAGGAAGTGACCCTAGGGAAATAGGGTAGGACAGAGAAACTAGGGAGAGTGGGCTGGGGAGTTGGCTCAGTGGTTAAGAACACTGACTGCTCTTATAGAGGACCTGGATTCAATTTCCAGCACTCGAAACCATCTATCTGGAGCTCCAGTCCCAGGGGATCAGATATCTTCTTCAGACTTCAGGGCGCACCAGGCACATACTGGTACACAGACAAGCACATAGAAAGACACTCATACAAAATGATAATAACAATAAAAATGATGATGATGACAAAGTCTTTTAAAAAGGAGAGTTAGGGGAAAAGGGATAAGAAGATTTGAACAGGCTCATAAATTTGTAGTTCTTTTTGCCCCTTTTCTCCCCTGAGAGGTATAAATCTATTTCCTCAGAATTAGGTTATTTTCTCGATTACTCCAGAGGGATTTAGGATAGAAAGGTAAAAGAATAATAGCCCTTAGTTAGCTCACTCTCACTTCTGTTTTCTCAGGACCAAGTATAGAAAGTTCTGGCACCATGATGATGGCAACTTTTATAAAATGCTTTTAATGGTAATGTGGGTGCCAGTGTTGTAGGATTATAAAAATAAATACAGCTATGTTCTGTCACATGTCGCAATGCTGACTATCTGAAGTTATAAACCTGACTATTCTGTGGCCTTTAACCTCAAGTCACTCGCCAAGGTCATCAAACTGATGACCCTTGTTAGAGCAGGTGCCTTAATGACTTCTACTCTGACCCCAACTGGCAAACAATGGCTTCTACTCTGACTAGGAAATATTCTTGCAGGGCTGGAGAGATGGCTCAGTGGCTAAGAACACTAACTGGTCTCCCGGAGGTCCTGAGTTCAATTCCTAGCAACTGCATGATAGCTCACAACCATCTGTAATGAGATCTGGTGCTCTCTTCTGGCCTGCAGGGATACATGCAGACAGGACACTCTATACATAATAAATAAATAAATCTTTAAATAAGGAAAGAAAGAAAACATTCTTGCTCTAGATGGAGCTTGGATACCAGAATTACTGCTCTCATTCTCAGCTCTGTCAACAGATCGTGGACCAAAGAGCTTAGTAGATGTTATGTGGAAGTGGGGTGGTGATGAAGTTTGGGGCTTGGAACCTAAGTGGCACTCTACTCCTCAACCATCAGCCCAGCTTCCATCAGTGAGGACTGAAGAAATTTATCAGTGTCCATCAATTCAAAGTGAGGCTATCTGACAGGCAGTGGTGGCACATGCCTTCAACTCTAGTGCTCGGGAGGCAGGTGGATCTCTATGGGTTCAAAGTCAGCCTGGTCTACAAGCTATGAAGAGAAGCCCTGTCTTGAAAAACCAAAAAGGAAAAGGAAAAGGCGAAGGAGGAGGAGGAGGGGGGGAGGAGGAGGAGGAGAAGAAGAAGAGGATTAGGAGGAGGAGGAAGGTGGCAATCCATTTACATGTTTTGTCTTCATGGGTCATTGAAATGACAAGGGCAAGTCTGAGTGATTATTGTGTAAGCCCATTTGTGAAACAAAGACTCTAATGCATTCTTTTCCTGCCGGTTCCTCACCTCTATACCTATGTGAAAATGAATTGAAAGGTCTGGAGATGTCATTGGCTTAACTCACAGAACTGCCTGAATGCACAAGGAATGTATTTGGACATATTTGGTACCCAATTTCTTTTTAAGTATAAAAATAAACTCAGAAGCAAGCCATGAATTGAATGCAAAATGCTTTTTGTCAGGGGAGGAGCAGGCTGCCTGCCAATGCACAATGCCAACTTCAAATAAGCCAGCTTGGGAGGGTTGCATCTGAGAGGAGAGGAAGAGCCCACACAGCCTGTAAGAAGAGGTGACTCTTCTTGTTGGGGATGACACAGGAATCATTGCAGCCCTGCTCCTCCTGATAATGCTGACAGCCAACATCCCCAGCTCAAATTTGCCCCATGTTGGGCGCCACTTTGTCGTGACCCAGTGCGTCTCAGCCTTAGTCCATGAGGTTCTACCTGAGTGGGGGGGTGTGGTCCTGGAAACTCCCAGCAGCCCACCGGCGATAAAGATCAAACACAGGCATCTTGTCATCATTAGAGAGCTCTCAGTTCCATGTTGTAGAACTAGAGTCATTTCTTTATTAGCCATCTTTTCTGCTGTTTCTTAACCGTCCTGTCATGACCACGAGGGAACCATTTCTCTCTTTGTTTCCTCTCTGCTCTCTGGTCACTAGCTCCTAACTCCTAGCCTTCTATCCTCACAAGTTACTCACATACCTCTATTCTCCCTGCCCAGATGAGGGGCTATTCAGATGCTTAGGTGCATAGAGATGCAAATTAGGAGGCATATTACCCTGAGGCCATGGTAAACAATAGTAGCCTTACTGGCATTAACAATACAATAGTGGGCCGGAGCTTTCCGGTGCTCCATGTTTAGTGAGACCATAGAGGAAATATTTTGGTCCCCCACAGTTCAGAGGTGACCTCCTACCTCCCACTTCCCTTGCCCAAGAGTCCAGCAGAGTTCTTCTGTCTTCAGCTAACAAGAAACAAGAAGCAGGCCTGAGCGACCATGCCCATGGGCAGCAGCTCCCTGCCCCAGGAAAGGGCAGAAAGTGGC